ATACAATCACATAAGGTATTTTGCAATTATATAATATGTTATCGTGCTAAATTTTCTTTTTTTTACACCTATGAATTGTTATATTTGGCTGGTTGAGTACCACATTGAATCTATTTTATGTAATAATAAGGTATCTATTTTTCTGAGGCAAGTAATTTAAATCTGAGAAAAAACTTTGGTGAGATTCCTACAAATGTCACGGAAAAAAAAAGAGAATGAAGCCTCATATAAAAAGAGAAAAAAAAGAGAGAGAGAGAAGGGAAGAGAAAAGAAGAGAGAGAGAGAGGGGAAGAGAAAATAAGAGAGCGTCATTTTAAATTGAAGTACAGTAAAACCTCTATAAATTAATATTCGATAAATTAATAATCACTATAAATTAATAAATTTTGCTGGTTCCAAGTTGAGTCAATGTAAAAATCCATCAAATTCGATAAGATAATAAGATAATAATTTTTTTTGAAATCCTTATGTAAATTTATTGTCCCAACAAAAACATAAATTAATAAAGATATAAAGTTATGAAAATATATGTAAATACAATATTCTAAAATATGACTAATGTTTTTGTCTTTACTTAAAGTTGAAATCTCATTGGTTTTCATCTCTCTAATTATTATATCAGTAGCTTTTATTGCTCTTTTACTATATACATTCAACATTTGTGATGATTTTTTGATGTGATAATTTATTTTTTTACCTTTAAATGTTTTTAAATGTATTGTAGTATTATTTTCATTTTTATCATCAGTAATACTAATAGTAGCCATGGTTTTTTTTTATAAATTTTAAACTTATGAACATGTATATTTTTACACGGACAATCCAATATGGTGTTAAAAACTATTTTATTGTGATAGTTATGATTCTTAATTATAATTTATATCATGAGATTTGTTAAATTTTTAAAATATAAAATTATTATAAAAAATTTTTTAAAAAATTATATGCGAAAAGCAAATTTTCTCTATAAATTAATAATTATCAATTTAAAAATAAATTAATATCACGATAAATTAATAAATTATTATAGTCCCAACACTATTAATTTATAGAGGTTTTACTGTAGTTGTAGTCCAACATACACCAGCACAAGGGTACGATTGGGATTAAAAAATGTCAACGGTACAATAGTTTTCTCTTTGTTACTTCCCCAATTATAACACTTTTCTTGGTTAAAGGATGCAAATACCCTAATTTTAATTCATCTATTCGATTAATTCGAAAAAAGACTATGAATATAAAAACATAATTTTACCCTATATGTTCATCTTACCATATAGTCTATATTTTTTGAATTTTAAATATTTAAAACTTAAAATTAATTAATTATATAAAAGTATATAATAATATACTATTTATTATCTTTAGCGTTATGAGAATACTATTTAAATTTGAATATTTAAAAAGAAAATAAATTAATATCTTTATTTACTATTTTGTAAAAATGATAACAACTGATTTTTATAATTTTGATAATTAATCCTAATTATATCTAAAAAATCTAAACTAATTGAATTAAAATTTAAAATTTTTCGAAATTAATTTTGAAAGACAATATTCAAATATACTATTTAATAATTTTTGAAAATAAATAAAACAGATAAATAAAATTTAAATTTTTATTTGGCAACATAATTAATAGATATCCAAAAATAGAATAATAGAAAATTAAAAAAATCTATTTGGATACAAAACATACTTCTGTTTTAATAGAAAAGATGGCTGTGAGTATTTTTAAAAACAGTTTTTAGACTTTGACTTTTAAATCAATAAAACTTGATTGACTAATTAATGGCTTCTAAAACTTTAACTAAATTCTATGCGTCCGCATAGAAATTTTTTGTTTTTTGCTTATAAAATTTTATAATATAATTTGTATTTATTTTGTGTTTAGATATAATTTATTTTGTAGATTTAATTTTTTAAATCAAGAGTTTGTTATCATGTTTAAATAAAAGTATGAGTTAGTTATGTATATTAATGTAATGTTAATTGTAAATTTTTATTACAAAATCCAAAGCAATCTAAATAAATATCTATATTTTCGAAATATATTTAAATATAAATAGTTTTGAATATTTTAAATTTTATGTTAAATCTGATCTCTATATTTGAGGAAATTCAAAGTAATCTAAATAAATATCTTAATTTTCATAATGAAATATATAATATAAATATGTATATAAAAACTGTATTTTTAGATAAATTGTAATAAGTAAGAATAATTTTAAATCTATTTTAAACATAATTTTTCAAAAAAATTTAAAAATGTTTAGAAGCAAGCACTAAAAATATTTCTGTTTTAATATTATGAATTTTTTTAAAAATCTCTACTTTGCATCCTACCAGAAGGAGATGGATTTCCCTTTGTCATTTGACCATTTGGGTTGGAAATATTTTGGAAAAAGCCTTTTTAAAAACCAAATTTCGGCCATGTAATTATGTCCAAAATTGTTTGTAGGAAATTAAACAAAGTGATAATTAAAGAAAAGAATTTTCCACTTCTTTTCTTATATTATTTCCACTTCATAAATTTAGAGGAAAGTTTTTCCCCTATTTTTTTGCAATAATTGTAGTTTGTGTATGGTTTTGCTCCAAGATCCGAATATATTACGTTTCATTCATAAGATAATGTGCATTCTTTTTTAATTTCTAACACTAGATTCTAACCCCGTGCATCCGCACAGGAATATTTTTATTGTTTAACGAATTTTGTAATATAATTTGTGTTTTTGAGTTTAGATATAATTATTTTTATAAATATATTTTTTAATAAGTGAAAATATTGATTTTTGTGTTTAGATATATTTTTATAGTATTAAAATTAATTATGATTATAAAAATATAATTTTAACCCGTCCACTATTATTAATTCAAAATGAACTATTATAAAAAACATAATTCTAACTTTTCCGTTCATATTACTGTATAATATAAATATTTGTTAAAAGTTTGAGATGTATTAACAGTATTATTTAGCATTATAGTTTTCTAGAATTTACTCAACGAAAAGAGTGTACAACTGATTTTTCAAACCACATTATAGTGTATGCAATAATTTTTAATTTTTTATGTTTTGATTTTGTATGAAAAATATATTTTTGATATACATGTATAATTCAAAATTAGTGATTTTAGTTACCAAAATATTTTTAACCCGGTTTTTATATATATTTTTAGTTTTATGAATTTTTTAAAAATATATTTTTAATATTTAAATTATACATTTGAATTTTACCTATTATTTTATTATTAATTTGTAAATAAATCATAATCGTAAATATATTATATAAGCAACATAAATATCATATCATTTACATCATTATAAATATTTTATATTTCAAATATGACCATCATTTTTTATATGTGAATTTTTCTTTTCAAAAATTCTAGATTTTTTTGATAAAAATGTTTAATAGTATAGAAATTATTTAAATTAGAATCTTTAAATCAAATCTAAATTAATATCTGATTTATTATTTTTAATCAAATCAAATCAAATCAAATCTAAATTACCTATATTTAAAGAATTCTAAAAATATTTAAATTAATAACTAATTTTCGAAATTAAACACTTAAAAAAAAATTAAAAATGTTTGGAAGTAAATACTAAGCGTGCTTCTGTTTTAATATAATAGATTAAACTGCAAGTTGTTTAGGTAGTAAATTTGAAAAGTATTAATTGATTGGAGTTTGGAGATCATTACAAAGGAATTAAAATTATAATGAAGACTAGACAAGTGACAAGACAAGATATATGGTAGTAAATTTGAAAAGTATTAATTGATTGGAGTCTGGAGATCATTACAAAGGAATTAAAATTGCAATGAAGACTAGACAAGTGACAAGACAAGATATATGAGAAGATAGATAAAAGAGAAGATATTTAAAAGTCTACGATGGATGATGCATGTATTACTATGCATATTTATGTAGAGTCCATTTCTATAAATAAAAAACAAAAGTATATTTGAATTTGTATTAATCTAAGGACTGTATGGGTAAGTGGTTAACCGACTTTTTTTCGTTAAACAATTTTTTTTTCGTTAAACAACTTAAAAATCATAAAGTGAGAACGTATGATCAAAAATTAAATTAGATCTAAAGAGGACAAAAAACAGAAAAGAAACCCCTAGTTAATTTTGTACAACCTTGACATTGATGACAAAGGTTCCAACATGGAAAGGACCCAAACAAAAAAACAAAAAAGTTCCTACATGGCATTTGTACAACCTTAATTTTTTTCTAATAAAAAGTTGTTCAACACTTCAAAACAAAACATAAAAACCAAATGGATTTTACACATACTATAAAACATCCAAACAAACCCAAAAGAAAATAAAAGAAAAATGGAGAGAGAAGAGAGGAGAATATGAAAAGACATCGATACAGCTAATATTTATATAGATCGCCGCCTAAAAGCCGAAACCATCATTTAATTCACTACTACTACTGTTTTGCTTTCGTCATCCGAAACGCCGCCGTTTTCGATTCTCTCACCAAAGCAACCATCATCACTTCCTTCTTCACTCGCTTTGTCAGAAGACAAACAAGAGATGTCAGTTTCATCATCACGAGCGTGACAGCTATCTACCATCGGTTTATCCCCGAGGTCAACAACAATGGAGATAGGCACCGACAACAACCGCCCGTCACGCGGCGGCGAGAAAAGAACCGGCATGTACTGCTCCATCTCTGCTCCGGGAAGCCTCGCGTTCTTAAAATGTTCCTTCAACGACTCAATCCCCTTTCCCATTATAACAACAACAAAAAAACACCTTTTTAAACCACTTTAATGTAATAATTAACAAGAGATTCAAAGATTTTGTTTTGTTTTTTCTTCTAAACCTGGACTCGAGCATAAGTAACAGCACAGATCTTTTTAGACTTGAAGACTCTCCATTGTTTTTTGTGAAAGGCCTTGTAAAGCCTCCACACTGCTTCTGGAGTTGTCATGTTCACAAACCCATATCCCACATTGCATTTGTTGCTTATGAAACCGAAGGAAATATCAAGATTTAATCAGCCCAATTTTATCATTAAACTACTTTTAATCAAAACAGAAGTGGAATGATATTATTACCTGAAATCAATAGGAAGGTAGAGAAAGTCATAGGAAGACATGGGAGTATTGTTCCCTTCGTTGATTATCTTTTGGTTACAGCCATTGCAATGTGTATCCAGCACATTCAAAAACTGCTTCTGACTATAAACAAAAAAACCACATTACATAAAAAAATTGACTAGTCGACATCTGTATACAAAAATAGTAACATTTGCACATAAGCTCAACAATATATCCGGAGGGTCTTGTTGACTTACGTCAAACCCAAGATAAAAACAGAAACAAAGCATTTCCTCGTTTTGGGACATTATTGTCCAAGCACATGCACATCACAATCACATAAGTATCAATGAAAAAGTCACAGCTTGCTTACGTATACTTGTTGGGGATGTTCTTGATCATGACGGTGGTTCGGCCGTCACGACCGGGCTCGGCGGTGGCGATAGCGTTTTCCTTTATGGTGAAGTAATCATCAACGCTAAGATTCTTCTTCTTATGATTAGACCACCGTTTCCTATAGCTGCTCTTCTGTTGTTTTTGCTCGTACCGTTGTTTATCACCCACCGCGTTGAGCGGCTTCACCGGTGACGGTATCCGGCGACGGTAATGCTGAGGCGGCGGAGGCGGTGGTTGTGGTGGATGATGGTGGTGGTTGGAAAGGAAATTTTTGTTGAAGCGTGAGGCGAGATAGAATTTTCTGTTGAAACCACCGGGACGGCTAAACTGGATAGCGATTTGTTTCCCGGCGATAGATTTTCCGTTCATCTCACGGAGAGCTATTGCGGCGTCTCTAACGTCGAAAAACTCAACGAATCTCTGTTCTTTCTTGAACGGCGTGTCTCTCAGCTCTTTCACTTCCCCTGATTCGACAAAAGAGAAAAAACAATCAATCTCCGTAGAAATTTACAAAAGAGAGCATCTTTGGTTTAATAAATCACAAAACCCTCAAAAAGTCGGGAGCTTTATCAAAACCCTTAACAAAGTCGAGAGCTTTATTATACCATAAGCCTGGAAAATGTGACGGAGAGTTGTGGAAGAGACGGTGGGTTTCAAATTCATAATCACAAGCGATCCTTGGTTTTTCCCTTCGGGTACGGCCGTTACTTGCGGAAACACGAAATGGGCCCACACTGTTCTTCCGGAGACGAGTCCACGCGCCGCCATATAACCACGGTTAAAAAGGACTTGTTGTTCTTGATGCATGTGACGCTCGCGTATCTCCGTCAATGCCCTTTGTGAGTCTCTCAGGTTGTAGAAATAGACGGTCACGATTCCTTCATCTGCTAGCTCCATTTGGACTCCACGCACATCGCCGAACACCTCCAGGTCTCGCCGGATAGATGACTCGCTGACGTCAGGTGGTACTGGTAACAGCACAAGAGCTCTAGTCGGCGTAACCGATGTCGGAGGAAGATGAGAAGCCGGCGGAGGAAGGCCGGCTCCGACGAAATTAGGGAAAAAACAAGGGTAAGGCGGCGGAGGAAGAGGATGGTAGATTTTGATCGGAACAAAAAAAGGAATCGGGTGTAAGTTCGCCGGTAAAAACGCCGGAGCTGTTGGGTTAAGGTTTCTTGGGTAACCGGTGACTGACATGGCGGTTTAAAGAACTGGTTTATCCGGTAACCGGTAACGGCTACTTTGTACTGATGGGCGCTTGATCTTCCCTAGTGATCGTACTCTCTCGTCGTCTCTCTCTTTCTTTGATGCTGCAGTGCAGGGAGAGCAAAAGTGGAATTTGTGGTTTTGTTTTATCCTGCAGAGGTTTTTATTATTATTTCCAATTTTAGTTTATTTATTCAAAAGTCAAGGTACTCACTCGTCCTAGGAGTTTACCATTTTGCCCTCTGGGAGGATTTCATTGCAATGGAAGAAGATGTTTACAGGTGCGATTGGTGTCTAAACACATGCCAAAGTGCTAAAGAGTTAGTTTTTAGCGATTTTGAAGAATCGGTTAAAGAGAAAATGGTTAACATTCAAAATGTTTTTCAAAGGTAATATTTTGATTATCTTTGACAAATGGTTAACATTTTAAAACGTTTAAATTACCAACAGTTAATGTCTCCTTAACCGAGCCTAATAACCAGTTAACCAGACATAATTAATAACCAATTTCAACGCTATGTGTAACATGTACTTATCTAAAAACATATTACAAAAATATATTACAACACTTGTTAACAAACTAACTCCAAAAAACCTTGATTTTTAAACCTAGAACACAATTTCCTATAAATTGGGTGCCATGATCCATGTAAAATAATATACAGTTTGGATTTTGGATGCAATAGTTCGTATTGTCGTGTTCCTCATTGTCACTGCAAAAGTTCATGGGCCGATTTGTCGTCTCTAAGTACAAATTTTGTTTGTATGGTTTTATATTTATATATATATATATATATTATTTTTTTCATAAATATATTGTTGTAAATCAACATACCTTTTCACGTAAAAAACAACGAATAAATCGAAGAAAACAGGAAGGATGTTGGTCTAGTTAGCCAAGTAAAGGCAAAATACCAGAAACATTACATTTGCTTTTTAGCCATTTAGCCTGATCTAGCCTTTTGTTTCATATATTTTATTAGGATTTCTACAGTCTCCTATTTACAGATTTACTGTATTGAGAAATAAAAATATGGATAGTCTGGTTCTGACCAAAGAAAAAGAACATCTCCAATGATAAGCTCTAAAAGTTTTTAAATTTTAGGGAATTTAAAATAAATCAAAAATTAATTAAAAAATAAGAACTAATTCTTAAAATTCTTATTTGAAAACCTCATTCTTCAAAGGTTTTACACTTGTCATCTTTTCATTAGTCTATTTTTATTTTTAGAAATAAAATTTAATTAAATAATTATACTATATTATAATATTTATTTGTTTAAAACTCCAAAATGAGAGCTCCACCATTGGAGATGGTCTAAATTCTAAAATTTCTTAGTTATAACTTATACTAAAAATCGCTTATGTTTTTAAAGAAATTTAAGAATAAAAATATGGTACTACCCTTGTTACAAAAAAAAATGGTACTCGGCTGAATGTTTTTATTTTTGTTTCTCTTAACGACAAAATGATATTTTATATACTAGAAAGAAGAAATAAGTTACATGAGTAGAATACACGGATGATTTGGAATTAAAGATTTAAAGTAATACATGGATGCAATAAAATCTGCTTTCAAATATGCATTACACATATGTTAATTATAAGTCTCATGCATATACGTGTGTGTCTACCGTCTACGTATATACAGTGGCGGAGGTATATAGAATGAGTTGGGGCAGTTGCCTCCAATAAAAAAATATTTAGTGTAAATTTGTAACAATAATACTAGTTGTTCCCACACTAAATAATAAATATGTTTTGCCCCCAATGAAAAAATCTTCTGACTCCGCCACTGCGTATATATATTAGATGCATCCGCTGCATCCTACATATGAGAATTGAGTTAGAGGGTAGGACCAAAGAGGGACCCTGAGCAAATCCTTATTTTAAGGAATGTTATTGTTACCTACTTCCTTGTTTTTGGGCTGTCATTTGTTTTTGTCTTTTTTATGCCATATCCTTCATTTATTACATGAACGCATCAGCTGATAAAAAGTTTATGTGAAACTACAATATCTTCTTTACCTTATTTGAGAATTTCGAAAAGAAAAACAAAAGTTGAGACGTTTATTTAGTAAATTTTAAGTAATTTATTGTTGTTTTTTTTGTTTGAAACTCTATTTCAATTAATTCATTATTTACACTTATCTCATTGAACCAAAGTAATATGGTGTTCATAAGAATTATCGTTGCTAAAAGGAAAAAAAATAGTATCACACAAAATACTCCAATATCGTCTAAAACTTCAAGATAAATTTCACCACATACCATTACTTTTTACATTTTAGTTTTAGAATATCTTGTAAATTATCTGGCAATCTTAAATCTCACCAAGTATATATCATTAAAATTTCTCAAAATCTAAAATCCACCGAGTTACTTAAAATTCTTAGTCCAAAACATTCCCCTTACACACGAGACTACTCAATGATGGCTCCACATCGTCTTCTGCCATAGAGGTGTATTCTAAGTTCCATAGAAGTGTCTTCTGCCTCAGAGTTGCAAGTCTGCTTGCACGTAACAACAGTTGAGATTACTTTCATGAACCCCAATAAAAAAAGACAACCACATATATATATAATATACAATTGCAACAGAAGTTTCTTAAATACAAGTCCAAAACTGGAAGAGAAACAAACAAAGAGAGAGAGAATAATCTTGACCTTAGCATGAGTGATAAGACCACCATGTCCCATACTTTTATCCTTTTCAGATTTGCCTTTAGCTGAACGAGACAGACGACCTAGATCATTTCTTTCGATCTCTCTCAACCGCTCTTCAAGCTGTGAGGCATAAACACGTACCAGAAATATCATCAGATACGAGGGAAAAATTATTATCCAAGACTATTCAGAGAGAGCAAGACGAAAACTATTGAAAAGTGTTACCTTAGCTAGGCTTTTAAGTCTTACTGTGTTATCTTTGCCATCCCCAAGAGCATCACATCTAACAGCTAGAGCTATTTTAGAAGTTAAAGACCGCAAGAACTTTCCCTTGAGCTTTGGTGCTGCTTGACCAACCAAAGGTGCATGGTACTTGAGTGATCTAAAGGTATATCCATTGGTTCCGAGAATCTGAATCTTACTCCCAGGTTGCTCGGCGAGGTTGAGTAAACCACCTCCACGAGAAATTAGACGAGCACCGACTAGCTCTCCAACCAAGGCAGTAAGATTGGGAGCAACCGTGTTCATTCTGCTCTTCAGGTCATCGTGAAGCTTGGTTCTATCCTCAGTCAGAGAAACAACCTGGTCACAGAGTTCTAAAATGTGCTGGTCACTGACTTCTTTTCCTCTAGATATCACAGCAGCTTCCTTCAATTGTGCCTCAATCTCATCCTCTAATATCTGTAGCCCAACCAGATGATCATTAGCAGGGCCGTGGGCCGTGTATACGTTACGGAGAAACATTGGCTTAGGCCTAATTTTAATAAAATACTTATAAAAGTTTTTTTTTTACAAAATTTATTATACTATAATTTGAAGTTTGTGTTTATTTTTTTCATTCATAAAAATCATAAAAAAATCTAATTAATATTGCTTGTAAATGTATACTTTATTATACAAAATTTCTTTCAACAAATTAATTATAGCAATAGTCATTTCTGATTTAGTGGTCATTTTGTATTAACACTAATTGGATAAGATGCTTATAGAGAATTTGTATGTTGTTATTTGTTAGTGATTATGATTGTATTTTCATATTTTATTTTTAATCAAACAGTATATTACAAAATTATTTTTAAAAAAAACAAATAAGTTAAGAAAATAAACGAAGTAAAAACTACATTATCTAAAAGTCTACTACTAAATTTATTCAAAGTAAATGAAAAACTTATATATTCTAAATTTTAATTTGAGATAAACTATATATTGACTAGTTCATATTCAATTCTTAAATCTATGTTAGTTTTGGTCTGGTTTAATACAATCAAAAAATTTATTTAATCAAAGTGAATTTGGCAACTACCAAAAAAAAGTTTGGTTAATAAAGTATGTGAAACTTTGAAGAATTATTGAATTTTTCATCTAACAATCATCAAAATTTGATTTACAACGAACATCAAAATTTGATTTACTACAAAAATTTATTAAGGTTCATTGATAGATGATTTTTTTTTTACACACATAAACTAAAAACTGGATAAACCAAACCAATATTCACACATTAGACTATTTTGCGTGTTGATTTGGAAATAAATTCATTTAGCATATACTCAAGTATTTGAGTCTTATTTTATATAGTTTAGTAAAATTAGACAAATGATCAAAATTTTATGACCAATTTTTGCACAATCATTTTGTTTTGTTTATAGTTTTTTTTTTTTTAAATTACGACTATGTCTAGGCACGACTCTAATCAAAAGACATGATGTCCAGTTAACAGAGGTTCTTTAAATAATTCATAAAGTGAAAGTTACCTTAAAGAAATCAACAAACTTAGCATTCCTCCGGTTTCCCATCAATTTAACTGATTTCGCATATAGTAAATTGTCTTCAATGATTTTTGCAAGTTGGGAGAAATGCGTCTTATACTGTTTTTTAAGCATCAGTGCATGTGTTTTCAGTTTTTTGTCAAGATCATCGAGCAAAACCGATAGCTTCTATAATCATATTATCCTCCACCTGACCAAAAAAAAACTTTAAGAGTTGAGATGCAAGAGAAGCAATGACAAAGAAAAATTAAAATTCAAAAGATCACATGCTAGTTCTAAACAGAAAATTCAGAGCAATTAAAGCTTAAATCCAAAAACAAATCATATGCCTTAGAAGATACCGGGCTGTGAGACGAGCCCAAGCTCATAGGAGACAAGTCGTGATCACCCAAACCATATATGAGTTCTGTGAACAGTCTCCTAACACCTTGTAGAAACTCCATTACAGTATTGTTGAGAACACAATGGATGTTCTCTAGGAGTTAAAACTTTTATCAGAAACCTATCCTCACATGCGTGAAAGAGAGAACAAAAGAGACTCAGTTACCTGAATTAAACAAAAATGCTGTGCTGCATCAATGTGAGCACTACAA